ACATTTTTAGCGAAATTAAGTGTGAAAATAACTTTTGTCACATTATACATTTGTTTCTTATTTTTCTCTAAAATAAACCAACCCTTTTATTTTCTCTTCCTTTTTATGCGTAAAACATATTTTTAAATTTGTATAAAAATTTCACAAAGAAAAACAATTAAAAAATTAAAACCCGATGAACGGTATTACTGTCTTTTTTGTTTTAAATTGATGAACTTCCACATTGGTTCCCAACCATAGGGTCATGTATGGGTTTTGGAAGCACAAGGAGGTTCAGTGTTATTGGATTAAACCATGGAGACCTAATGTATAATTTTCCATTTCTAAATTAAGAAGAACCATCGAGCAAACATGGTCTTCAACCTTGCTTAGCAACTTCTACTGTTTACTCATGCTAATTCAAATTCTTATTCAGACTAAGAAGAAAGCAGTTGCAGCGGTGGAGGTTGAAGAAATGACAGAGCAAGCAGCTTGTAAAGAGGACGAGCTTCTGAAGCCACCAAACAAAAATGCAGGAGTAGTTGCAAAATGGGTAAGTCTTCTATCAATGGGCACTAGGAAACTTAGTTTCAAATGCTTCTATAACACGAACAATCGTGCAGTTATGCAGTGAAATTGGGTTTTAATATATCAAATTCTCTTCACATTCGTCATCATTATTGCCTTTTCTAGATTCATTTATTGCTATATCAATTTTTTCTCCTGACAAAACATGAAAATTTTTTTGATGGTTCAACTGTCTTTCATCATTTTGCACATCGGCTTCTTGGTAGCAGCTTTGTTTCTTTTATTGTTTCTAAATAGCGAAGCTATAGATTACCTACCAGTGGTTTGAACCAGTAACACGTCACCTCCCCATATCTTTTGATGATGCACAAAATTGTCTTCGCGCAAGATCAACATTCAAGTATACGAACGGGTGCAATTAGTGAGCAATAACAAGCAATAAATGACAATTAATGATTAAAGCAGTAAATAAGAAGAAAACACAGAAGTTTATAGTGGTTCGGTCCGGGTGACCTACTCCACTCCTGGGAATGGCGATGGTGGCCTGGGGTGTTTTATTAATGAACAGTGTCACCGGGAGAGTAACTCTGATGTTTTACAGTGCTTTGGAGAGAGAGAGCAATGTGTGTAGGAAGGTGTAGTGTGTATAGGAATCTCAAGGTTATTAGAGCATGCCCTCTATATGGAGAGGACTTACATTATATAGGTGTGATGAGGCAGTGAGACGGTGACGTGAGGAGGAAGACTTCTACTGTTTTAGTAAGTACAGCTATGGTAGGAGATCTCTGTGCCTATCCCGGCGTTTTCTCCCTTGTACTCCTATTTCTTCGAAGAAGGGTCTTGAACTGGACTGAGCTCGTACTTGACTTTGGGCTTGGACCTGGAGTGATCTTGGAGTTGCATTGGAGTGAAGTGAGGAGGGGAGGATGGGCAAGGCATGGACGGCGCCCACTTGAGGCCACATGGGCGCGGTCTCTATTTTGCACTCCCACTTGACTCCTTGGTCGATCCATCTATTCTTGGACTTTTCTCTGGGCTTTCTCAACTTATTTTTATTGGCCTTGGCCCAATAAAATTCTGACTCATCATTTGCCCCCCATGCCCGGGCCTCTGACTTTTTTGAGAGAAAGGGGTCGCGGGCATGTGCTTCGTCTTTATCGGAGTGAGTCGAAATCTTTCTCGTCTTTAGGATTCCAATGTACTGATCGGTATCGAACAGATTTTTTTTTTTTTTGACTCTCTTCCTTCTCTCTTTTTTTTTTTCTTCTCTTGGATTGGTTGTTGGGCGCCTGACCTCTTTCCCCTTTCTCTTTTTTTTTCTTTACTTATTGTCTGTCTTAGCTGTTGGGCGTCGCCCTTATCTCCGTTTCTCTTCCTTTTTTTTTCTTTACTTCTTGTCTGTCTTGGTTGTTGGGCGCCACCCCTCTCTCCCCCTTTCTCTTCTTTTTTTTCTTGCCTGTCATAGTTGTTGGGCGCCGCCCCTTTCTCCCCCCTTTCTCTTTTTTTTTTTGTCTTCTCTTTCTTCTAGTTTTGGTTGTAGGGTGCCACCCCTCTCTCCCCCTTTCTCTTCTTTTTTTTTCTTGCCTTTCTTGGCTTTGGCAGTGTGTTGAGTGCCTGTTGTTTCTCAGACTACATATTCGAACTTTTTTTTTTGGTCTTCTAGAAATTGTTGGAGCAAGTTTCCTCTAGAAGCTTCCTTTCTCTATTTAAGGCCTTCAAAGTCACTGTTCATATTCACCATTTCTCTCTTACTCCCATCATCTCTTCCACTTCTCTCTCTTAAAAAATCATGAAGACTAGGCGTTCAAAAAGTGGAGAAGGCCTCAGCGCCCATGGGGAGCCTGGCCTACGTGACGCCCAAGGGACTGCCACAGGCGGCGCCAAAGGGGCTATCACAGGCGGCGCCAGGGGCCAGGGCAGTTCTCCTTTGGGCTGTGAAGGCTTGGGTACTCCTGGTTCTGGTGTGGCCTCGGTGTTTGGTGAGAGACCCTTTGGGACCATTACCTTTGGTACCATTACCACGGGGTCTGGTGCGAATATGAGGCTTCAAGTAATCCTCTTAGCGTATCAAGAAGGCCCCCAGGCATAGGTGAGCAACGGATTGGATCTTCGAAGAGGTGCCCACGGTGCACTGGCTGGCGCCCCAAGTGGTGGCTCAGGCACAATTTAGTCTCCTCTCCGTGAGTCCATAAACTTGCTGATCGATGATGGGGACGGTTCGGACTCTCAAGGTATGCTCCTAGTACTCTTTTTTTTCTTCTATGGGTACTTTTTTAACAATGGCTTAAATTTGCTTTTCGATGGGTTTTCACTAGACAAGCCGGAGATTACTAAGAATCCTGATGGAGGCCCGGTTACTGATGGAGGCGACTGTTCTAAGGTTGCCTCTATACTTAGCTCCTTTCAATGCGACAAAGATATCACAGAGCTAGTTTCCTTGTACTGCATTCCACCCTCTATACTGTGTCGTCATGCAGAGGCTGATGAGTCAGCTTGCTGCGATTCTCTGGATGAGATTGTTCTCTACGAGGGGATATTAGGGGCGGGCCTGAGGTTCCCAATTCCCAAACCCATATGCCGGGTCGTGGAGCATTTGTCGTTGGTCCCCGGGAAGCTAGCCCCGAATGGGTGGAGAGTGATATTGGCTTTCTTTGCACTATGGAGGCTAGTGCATGATGTTACTGTTCCTCCACCATTTGAGGAGTTCTTGGCCACTTATACACTTCTAGAGAATCTCACTCCCCACCAGGGGTGGTATCGATTTTCACCAAGGTCGGGGAAATTTATTACTGGGCTTACCTCCAATCTTCACGGATGGAAGAAAAAGTTCTTCTCTGTCGGAGGTGAGTGGGCTTCAGAGTCCGATCGTAGCAGGGTGCCTACCCGATGGGATACTGTCCCAAAGGTCAAGTAGGGTAAGAATTTCATCTTTGACCTTTGCTTTGTCTATGTTATACTTTCATGCACTCATTCTTATGGTACGACTGTCTTCTTGCAGCCCTGCCAACCCTAACTCTTGTGCAGGAGAAGTTACTCGAGATGGTTCGTAACAATCCGACTAGGGAGCATTCCGACAATATGGCGTCAGCCGGTTATCCCACGGCTCCCTCGAGGCCAAAGAAGAAAGTTACTTGGCTTCCTTGGCAATTCTTTCAGAAACACTGTATTTTGGAATTCTTGACTTACATTGGTTTTGCAGGTTCTCCACTTGATAGGTCCATTGTGGAAGAGGTCTATGTCTCTAGGACGGTTCATTCTTATCCTTCCTCCAAGAGGGTAAGGACTGGTGCCCCCACTTCAGTTGGTCCTGCAGAGGTAGAGCTTGGAGATGTTCCTCCTCCCTCTCTGACTGATATTCCTTCGCCCCCTAGGGGTGGTTCTGGTGCTACGGAGGCTGAGGCTCCGACGCTGCGTTTCACTGGGACGGAGGGTCCGTCTAGGTGTCCTTCTCGGGGTGGCGCCCGAGCATCCATGCTATATGACGTGGAGGTGGCAAAGGAGAGATTATGTGCCTTCATAACCAGTGTTGAAGTCCAAGAGATTGCTTCTCGAGGTCTAGAGGGTGCGATTAACGCAACTGTAGAAAGCTTTGTCGTGGTACGTCTTACACCCCTACTTTGTATGTGACTTTTTTTGTCATAAGTTCTTCACCCTCTTTTCATCTACTGCATCCTCTCGTGAACATTGGAGATGCGGTCCGTGGTCAGGTGATGGAGAGGCAGGCTCGTGAGGCTGCGGAAGAGCAACTTCGGCTTGAGCGGCAGGCGCGAGAGGATGCAGTAGAGCTAGCTCAACAGGCACGAGAGGATGTCGAGAAGCAGTTAGAGCTCGAGCAGCAGACACGAGAGAGTGCTACTAAGCGGTTGAGACTGTCAGAGGAGAAGGTAGCCCGACTTGAGGCTGACCTTCGGGTATCAGTTGAGAGAACTACCAGGGCAGAAGCTCAAAGGGATGCTGCAGAGAGGGCCAGGGTCGTCGTCTTCGTTGACGGCTACGATGAGCTCAGAAGAAAGGTCTCGACAGCACTTCCTAGCTACGACTTCTCTGGCTTCAAGCCTTTCGAGGCTCTTGAGTCCGACGATGAAGGCGATTATGTGAGTAGAGGCAGTGAGAGTCCATAAGGGTGTGGCACCTTGTATCTTTTGTTTTTCAGACCATGTTTGATTCTTTTGTAAAAGCTTCTAGACTTTGAAAATATCACTTTTGAGTGACTCTTTTGTAAAAGCTTCTAGACTTTGAATGAAATACCACTTTTGAGAGAATATTGAGAAGTTTTATTTCATAATCCAAAGTGGATATTCAAAGAAAATCTACTAACATTAAAAAATTGACTAAGATAAAAAAAGGGAAAACAGTCTGCTGGACACTGACTCATGACTCACTGCCCCCAGCTATTGGTAGTATTTCTTCATATGCTTTGCATTCCATGGATGGGTCAGGGTTTTTCCTTCAAAATTCTGGAGTTTATAGGTGCCTGGTCTTACCACCTCTGTGACCGTGTAGGGTCCTTCCCAGTTGGGTCCTAGCTTTCCTTCCCTGGAGTCCTTAGTAGACAGGATGACCTTTTTTAGGAACAGGTCCCCAGGTAAGAAGAAGCAAGGCTTCACCCTCAAGTTGTAGAACTTGGTCATGCAGCGTTTGTACTCTGCATTCCTGAGCATGACTATTTTCCTCTCCTCCTCTACCAAGTCGAGGTTGATGCGGAGACCTTCTTTGTTAGTAGTGGGGTCATGGTGCTGGACCCTAAGGGAGTATACCCTTATTTCAATGGGTATCACTGTCTCTGTCCCGTAGGATAGTAAGAACGGGGTCTCGCCCGTAGGACCTCTGGGTGTCATTCAATAGGCCCACAACACTCCTGGGAGTTCGTCAACCCACCTCCCTTTTGCAGCTTCAAGTCTGGCTTTCAAGTTACGGAGTATGGTCCTGACAATGACCTCTGTCTGTCCGTTTGCCTGTGGGCGGGCAGGGCTAGAGTGGGGCTGCTTGATTTGGAGGTCCGCACAGAAACTGTTGAGGAGCCTGTTATCAAACTGCTTGACATTGTCGCTTACAATGGTGTGTGGTATTCCAAATCGACAGACTAGGTTCCTCCATATGAAATCCTTTATCTTCTGGTCTGTGATTGTGGCTAAGGCCTCGGCTTCTGGCTTGCATTGGCCTCGACTTACTGGGAGGGGACCCAAGATGTCGATCCCCCACATGGAGAAAGGTCATGGACTCTAGATGGTGGTGAGCTCCTCGAGTGGTTGTCTGGACACAGTCGCGAAGCGCTGGCATTTGTCACACTTCCTGACAAAGTCTATAGAATCTCTGATCATGGTGGGCCAATAGAATCCCTGTCTTACTACTTTATGGGCTAATGCACGTCCTCCTGAGTGATTTTCACATACTCCCTCATGTATCTCTCTCATGGCATAGTCAGCTTCTTCGGGGGTGAGACAACGGAGTAGTGGGAGAGAATGACTTTGCTTATAGAGGATGTTTTGTAGGATAACATACCTGGATGATCTTATCCTCAACTTTCTGGCTTCCATTGGGCTGTCTGGGAGAGTGCCCTCCTCTAGATAAGCTCGAATGAGAGTCATCCAGTTTGACTCCGAAGATGTGCAGTGGAAATCACCCTCCCGAGTCTTAAAGGTGCTAGGCTCATACTAGTGACCTGTCAGCGTTGGGCCTATAAGTAGATTGGCAGAGGCAAACTTGGTGAGAGTTCGAACCGTCCCCATCATCGATCAGCCGCTTCCTGGACTCACAGAGAGGAGACTGAATTGTGCATGAGCCGCCACCTAGGGCGCCACCCAGTGCACCATGGGCACCTCTTGAAATGCCTGTGGCACTACCCAGTCTATGACAGACGCCCTCTGCCTCCTTCGAAGATCCACTCCGTTGCTCACCTACGCTTGGGGGCCTTCTTGATACGCCAGGAGGATTACTCGAAGCCCTCATATTCGCACCAGACCCCGTGGTAATGCTACCAAAGGTAATGGTCCCAAAGGGCTCACCAAACACCGAGGCCACACCAGAACCAGGAGTACCCAAGCCTCCGCAGCCCAAAGGAGAACTGCCCTTGGCCCCTGGCGCCGCTTGTGACAGCCCCTTGGGCGCTGCCCGTCTCAGCGCCTTGGGCGCCGCCTGCAGCCTCATGGGCGCCGCCTGTGGCAGCCCCTTGGGCGTCGCCTAGGCCAGGCTCCCCATGGGTGATGAGGCCTTCTCCACTTTTTGAACGCCTAGTCTTCATGATATTTTAAGAGAGAAAAGTGGAAGAGAAGATGGGAGTAAGAGAGAAATGGTGAATATGAACAGTGACTTGAAGGCCTTAAATATAGAAAGGAAGCTTCATGAGGAAGCTTACCTTAGCTTCTTGGAGAAGCTTGATGAATAGCTTCTTGAGGAAGCTTGCTCCAACAATTTCTAGAAGACCAAAAAAAAAGTTTGAATATGCAGTCTGAGAAACCACAAGCGGCTTGTGCAGTCTAAGAAGCAACAGGCGCCCAGCACACTGCCAAAGCCAAGACAGGCAAGAAAAAAAAAAAGAAGAGAAAGGGGAGAGAGGGGCGGTGCCCAACCGCCAAGACAGACAAGAAGTAAAGAAAAAAAAAAGAAGAGTGAGGGGGAGAGATGGGCGGTGCCCAACAGCTATGACAGGCAAGAAAAAAAAAGAAGAGAAAGGGGGAGAGAGGGACGGCGCCCAACAGCCAAGACAGACAAGTAAAGAAAAAAAAAAGAAGAGAAAGGGGGAGAGAGGGGCGGCGCCCAACAGCCAAGACAGACAAGAAGTAAAGGAAAAAAAAAAGAGAAGAGAAAGGGAGAGAGGGGTGGCGCCCAGCAGCCAAGAATGACAAGAAGTAAAGAAAAAAAAAAGAGAAAGGGGAGAGAGGTCAGGCGCCCAACAACCAATCCAAGAGAAGAAGAAAAAAAAATAAGAAAAGTTAACAAAAGTGGGCAGCGCCCAATCAGCCTAAAAAAAAAGAGAAGGAAGAGAGGCAAAAAAAAAACAGTACAGCAGAGTCCTGAAGACGAGGAAGATTTTGACTCACTTCGATGAAGACGAAGCACATGCCTGCGACTCATTCCTTTCGAAAAAGTTAGAGGCTCAGGGCATAGGGCGCAAAAGACGAGTTCGAATTTTACTGGGCCAAGCCCAATAAAAATAAGCCGAGAAAGCCCAAACAAAAGTCCAAGAACAGATGGATCGACCAATGAGTCAAGTGGGCGCCGTCCATGCCTTGCCCATCCTCCCCTCTTCATTTCACTCCAATGCAAGTCCAAGATCACTCCGGGTCCAAGCCCAAAGTCAAGTACGAGCTCAGTCCAGTTCAAAACCCTCCTCCGATGAAATAGGAGCATGAGGGAGGAAACGCCAGGATAGGCACGGAGATCTCCTACCATAGTTGTACTTACTAAAACAGTAGAAGTCTTCCTCCTCACGTCATCACCTCACCGCCTCATCACACCTATATAATGTAAGTTCTCTCCATATAGAGGGCATGCTCTCATAACCTTGAGATCCCTACACACACTACACTTTCCTACACACATTGTTCTCTCTCTCTCCAAAGCACTGTAAAACATTGGAGTTACTCTCCCAATGACACTGTTCATTAATCAAACACCCCAGGCCACCGTCGCCGTTCCCAGGAGTGGAGTAGGTCACCCGCACCGAACCACTATAAACTTCTGTGTTTTCTCCTTATTTACTGCTTTAATCATTAATTGTCATTGATTGCCTGTTATTGCTCACTAATTGCACCCGTTCGTATACTTGACTGTTGATCTTGCGCGAAGACAATTTTGTGCATCATCATCATTAATATTATAAACGTAACCCCTATGGTTTTGGACAAAACTCGAACTATAAGTTAATGGTTAAAGTTCAAAATCAACATTTTTAGCAAAATTAAGTGTTAAAATAACTTTTATCGCACTATACATTTTATGATTCTTATTTTTCTCTAAACTATACATTTTCATTAGTAATGCAACACGAACAATCGTGTAGTTATGCAGTGAAGTTGGGTTTTAATATATCAAATTCTCTTCACATTCGTCATCATTGTTGCCTTTTCCAGATTCATTTATTACTATATCAATTTTCTCTCTTGACAAAACATGAAAAATGTTTTTTGATGGTTCAACTGTCTTACATCATTTTGCACATCGGCTTCTTGGTAGCTGTTGTGTTTCTTATATTCTTCCTAAATAGGGAAACTATAGATTACCTACTAGTGGTTTGAACTAGTAAAGCGTTACCTCCCCATATCATTAATATCATAAACGTAACCCCAATGGTTTTAGACAAAACTCGATCCATAACTTAATGGTTAAAGTTCAAAATCAACGTTTTCAGCGAAATTAGATGTTAAAATAAATTTTATCGCATTATACATTTTATGTTTCTCTAAAATAAATCAATCCTTTAATCTCCTCTTCCTTTTTTTGCATAAAACATATTTTCAAAATTGTATAAAAATTTCACAAAGAAAAATAATTAGAAAATTAAAAACCTATGAAAGGTGTTACTATTTTTTTTGTACTAAATTGCTGAACTTGCACTTTGGTTCCCAACGATGGGGTCATGCATGGGTTTTTGAAGGACAAGGAGGTTTAGTGTTATTGAATGAAACCATGGAGACCTAATGTATAATTTTCCATCTCTAAATTAAGCAGAACCATCGAGCAAACATGGTCTTCAACCTTGCTTAGCAACTTCTACAGTTTACTCATGTTAACTCAAATTCTTTTTCAGAATGAGAAGAAATTAGTTCTAGTGGTGGACGTCGAAGAAACGACAGAGCCAGCACCTCGTAAAGAAGACAAGCTTCGAGAGCCACCAGAGAAAAATGCAGCAGCTGCTACAAAATGGGTTAAGTCTTCTATCAATGGACACTAGAAAACTTAGTTTCAAAGGCTTCTATTAATGGGTACTAGGAAGCTAAGTTTCTATGTTTTGGAAAGAATTTCTAAGTCAGCTGTCTGAATGTGAGGAATGCACTTGGATTGCCCAATTCTAATGTTTTTTGATTAGTAATGCAACACGAATAATCATGCAGTTATGGAGTGAAACTAGGATTTGATATATCAAATTCTCTTCACATTCGTCATCATTGTTGCCTTTTCCAGATTCATTTATTACTATATCAATTTTCTCTCCTGACAAAACATAAAAAGGTTTTTTACTGGTTCAGCAGTCTTACATCATTTTGCACATCGGCTCCTTGGTTGCAGCTTTGTTTCTTATATTGTTTCTAAATAGAGAAGCTATAGATTACCTACCAGTGGCTTGAACCAGTAACGCGTTACCTCCCCATATCATTAAATATAATAAATGTAACCCCTATGGTTTTGGACAAAACTCAAACCGTAAGTTAATGGTTAAAGTTCAAAATCAACATTTTTAGCGAAATTAAGTGTTAAAATAACTTTTATCGCATTATACATTTTATGTTTCTTACTTTTCTCTAAAATAAACCAATCATTTTATCTTCTCTTTCTTTTTATGCATAAAACATCTTTTTTAATTTGTATAGAAATTTCACGAAGAAAAACAATTAAAAAATTAAAAATCCGGTGAACGGTATAATTGTCTTTTTTGTACTAAATTGCTAAACTTCCACGTTGGTTCCCAACCATAGGGTCATGTATGGGTTTTTTAAGCACAATGCGGTTCAGTGTTTTTAAATGAAACCATGGAGACCTAATGTATAATTTGCCATTTCTAAATTAAGTTGAACCAACGAGCAAACATGGCCTTCAACCTTGCTTAGCAACTTCTACAGTTTACTCATGCTAACTCAAATTCTTTTTCAGACTGAGAAGAAAACAGTTGCAGCGGTGGAGGTCAAAGAAATGACAGAGCCAACAACTGGTAAAGAGGACAAGCTTCGGGAGCCACTAGAGAAAAAAATGGGTAAGTCTTCTATCAATGGACACTAAGAAACTTAGTTTCAAAGGCTTCTATTAATGGGTACTAGGAAGCTAAGTTTTTATGTTTTGGAAAGAATTTCTAAGTCAGCTGTCAGAATGTGAGAAATGCACTTGGATTGCCCAGTTCTGATGTTTTTTGATTAGTAATGCAACACGAACAATCCTGCATTTATGCAGTGAAACTGGGTTTTAATATATCAAATTCTCTTCACATTCGTCATCATTGTTGCCTTTTCCAAATTCATTTATTACTATATCAATTTTCTCTCCTAACAAAACATGGAAAGGTGTTTTGATGGTTCAGCTGTCTTACATCATTTTGCACATCTGCTTCTTGGTAGCAGTTGTGTTTCTAATATTGTTCCTAAATAGGGAAACAATGGATTATCTACCAGTTGTTTGAACCAGTAAAGTGTTACCTCCCCATATCATTAATATTATAAACGTAACCCCAATGATTTTGGACAAAACTTGAACCATAATTTAATGGTTAAAGTTCGAAATCAACGTTTTTTGCGAAATTAGATGTTAAAATAACTTTTATCGCATTATACATTTTATGTTTCTTAGGTTTCTCTAAAATAATACAATCCTTTTATTTTCTCTTTGTTTTTTTGTGTAAAACATATTTTTAAATTTGTATAAAAATTTCACAAAGAAAAACCATTAAAAATCTGATGAATATTACTGTCTTTTTTGTACTAAATTGCTGAACTTCCACTTTGGTTCCCAACGATGGGGTCATGTATGGGTTTTTGAAGCACAAGGAGGTTCAATGTTATTGGATGAAACCATGGAGACCTAATGTATAATTTGCCATTTCTAAATTAAGCAGAACCATCGAGTAAACATGGTCTTCAACCTTGCTTAGCAACTTCTACAGTTTAATCATGCTAACTCAAATTCTTATTCACACTGAGAAAAAAGCAGTTGCAGTGGTGGAGGTCGAAGAAATGACAGAGCCAGCAGCTCGTAAAGAGGACAAGCTTCCGAAGCCACCAAACAAAAATGCAGCAGCAGCAGCTGCAAAATGAGTAAGTCTTCTACCATTGGGCACTAGGAAACTTAGTTTTAAAGGCTTCTGTTAATGGGTACTAGGAAGCTAAGTTTCTATGTTTTGGAAAGAATTTCTAAGTCAATTGTTTGAACGTGAGGAATGCACTTGGATTTCGCAGTTCTAATGTTTTTTGATTAGTAATGCAACACGAACATTCGTGCAGTTATGGAGTGAAACTGGGTTTTGATATATCAAATTCTCTTCACATTCGTCATCAGTGCTGCCTTTTCCAGATTCATTTATTACTCTATCAATTTTCTCTCCCAACAAAACATGATAAGGTTTTTTGTTGGTTCAGCTGTCTTACATCATTTTGCACATCGGGTTCTTGGTAGGATTTTCGTTTCTCATATTGTTTCTAAATAGGGAAGCTATAGATTACCTACCAGTGGTTTGAACCAGTAACGCATTACCTCCCCATATGATTAATATTATAAACGTAACCGCTATGGTTTTGGACAAAAGTCAAACCGTAAGTTAATGGTTAAAGTTCAAAATCAACATTTTTAGCAAAATTAAGTGTTACAATAACTTTTATCGCACTATACATTTTATGTTTCTTTTTTTTCTCTAAACTAAACCAATCCTTTTATCTTCTCTTCCTTTTTCTGCGCAAAACATATTTTTAAATTTGTATTAAAATTCACAAAGAAAAATAATTAAAAACCCGGTGAAGGGTATTACTATCTTTTTTGTACTAAATTTCTAAACTTCCACATTGGTTCCCTACCACAAGGTCATGTATTGGTTTTTGAAGCGCAATGAGATTCAGTGTTATTGAATGAAACCATGAAGACCTAATGTATAATTTGCCATTTCTAAATTAAGCAGAACCATCGAGCAAACATGGTCTTCAACCTTGCTTAGCAACTTCTACAATTTACTCTTGCTAACTCAAATCTTTTTCAAACCGAGAAGAAAGCAGTTGCAATGGTAAACGTCGAAGAAATGACAGAGCGAACCTCATAAAGAAGACAAGCTTCAGAAGCCACCATAGAAAAATGCAGCAGCCGCTACAAAATGGGTAAGCCTTCTATCAATGGACACTAGAAAACTTAGTTTCAAAGACTTCTATTAATGGGTACTAGGAAGCTAAGTTTCTATGTTTTGGAAAGAATTTTTAAGTCAACTGTCTGAATGTGAGGAATGCACTTGGATTGCGCAGTTCTGATGTTTTTTGATTAGTAATGCAACACGAACAATCGTGCAGTTATGGAGTGAAACTGGGTTTTGATATATCAAATTCTCTTTACATTCGTCATCATTGTTGCCTTTTCCATATTCATTTATTACTATATCAATTTTCTCTCCTGACAAAACATGAAAAGGTTTTTTGATGATTCAGCTGTCTTACATCATTTTGCACATCGCTTGAACCAGTAACGCGTTACCTCCACATATCATTAAATATTATAAATATAACCCCTATGGTTTTGGACAAAACTCAAACTGTAAGTTGATGGTTAAAGTTCAAAATCAACATTTTTAGCGAAATTAAGTGGTAGAATAACTTTTATCGCATTATACATTTTATGTTTCTTATTTTTCTCTAAAAGAAATCAATCCTTTTATCTTCTCTTTCCTTTTATGCATAAAACATCTTTTTAAATTTGTATAAAAATTTCACAAAGAAAAACAATTGAAAACTTAAAAACCCAATGAACGGTATTACTGTCTTTTTTGTACTAAATTGGTAAACTTCCACGTTGGTTCCCAACCATAGGGTCATGTATTTTTAAGCACAATGTGGTTCAGTGTTTTTAAATGAAACCATGGAGACCTAATGTATAATTTGCCATTTCTAAATTAAGTAGAACCATCGAGCAAACATGGTCTTCAACCTTGCTTAGCAACTTCTACAGTTTACTCATGCTAACTCAAATTCTTTTTCAGACTGAGAGGAAAGCAGTTGTAGCGGTGGAGGTCAAAGAAATGATAGAGCTAGCAGCTTGTAAAGAGGACAAGCTTCGGGAGCCACCAGAGAAAAATGCAGCAGCAGCTGCAAAATGGGTAAGTCTTTTATCAATGGACACTAGGAAACTTAGTTTCAAAGGCTTCTATTAATGGGTACTAGGAAGCTAAGTTTTTATGTTTTGGAAAGAATTTCTAAGTCAGCTGTCTGAATGTGAGAAATGCACTTGGATTGCCCAGTTCTGATGTTTTTTGATTAGTAATGCAACATGAACAATTGTGCAGTTATGCAATGAAATTGAATTTTAATATATCATATTTTCTTCACATTCGTCGTCATTGTTGCCTTTTCCAGGTTCATTTATTACTATATCAATTTTCTCCCCTGACAAAACATGAAATGGTTTTTTGATGGTTCAACTATCTTACATCATTTTGCACATCGGGTTCTTGGTAGCCGCTTTGTTTCTTATATTGTTCAAAAATAGGAAACTATAGATTACCTACCAATGGTTTGAACCTGTAAAACGTTACCTCCCCATATCATTAATATTATAAACGTAACCCCAATGATTTTGGACAAAACTCGAACCGTAAGTTAATGGTTAATGTTCAAAATCATGTTTTTAGCGAAATTAGATGTTAAAATAACTTTTATTGCATTATACATTTTATGTTTCTTATTTTTCTCTTACATAAACCAATCCTTTTATCTTCTCTTCCTTTTTGTGCATAAAACATATTTTTAAATTTGTATAAAAATTTTACAAAGAAAAATAATTAAAAAAATTAAAAACCTGGTGAACGGTATTACTGTATTTTTTGTACTAAATTGTTGGACTTCCACTTTGGTTCCCAACCATAGGGTCATGTACGGGTTTTTGAAGCACAAGGAGGTTCAGTGTTATTGAATGAAACCATGGAGACCTAATGTATAATTTGTCATTTCTAAATTAAGCAGAACCATTGAACAAACATGGTCTTCGACCTTACTTAGTAACTTCTACAGTTTACTCATGCTAATCAAATTCTTTTTCAGACTGAGAAGAAAGCAGTTGCAGCGATGGAGGTCGAAGAAATTACCGAGTATCTCGTAAAGAGGACAAGCTTCGGGAGCCACCAAAGAAAAATGCAGCAACAACTGCAAAATGGGTAAGTCTTCTATCAATGGACACTAGGAAACTTAGTTTCAAAGGCTTCGATTGATGGGTACTAGGAAGCTAAGTTTCTTTGTTTTGGAAAGAATTTCTAAGTCAGCTATCTGAATGTGAGGAATGCACTTGGATTGCCTAGTTCTTATGTTTTTTGATTAGTAATGCAACATGAACAATCGTGCAGTTATGCATTGAAACTGGGTTTTAATATATCAAATTATCTTCACATTCGTCATCATTGTTGCCTTTTCCAGATTCATTTATTACTATATCAATGTTCTCTCCTGACAAAACATGAAAAGGTTTTTTGATGGTTCAGTTGTCTTACATCATTTTGCACATCGGCTCCTTGGTAGCAGCTTTGTTTCTTATATTGTTTCTAAAAAGGGAAGCTATAGATTACCTCCCCATATCGTTAATATTATAAACGTAACCCCTATGGTTTTGGACAAAACTCGAACCATAAGTTAATGGTTAAAGTCCAAAATCAACATTTTTAGCCAAATTAGGTTTTAAAATAACTTTTATTGTATTATACATTTTATGTTTCTTATTTTTCTCTAAAAAATAAATCAATCTTTTTATCTTCTCTTCCATTTTATGCATAAAACATGTTTTAAATTTGTGTGAAAAATTCACAAATAAAAACAATTAAAAAATTAAAGGTGAACGGTATTACTATCTTTTTTGTACTAAATTGCTGAACTCCCAGGTTGGTTCCTAACCATAGGGTCATGTATGGGGTTTTTGAAGCACAAGGAGGTTCAGTGTTACTGAATGAAACCGTGGAGACCTAATGTATAATTTGCCACTTCTAAATTAAGCATAACCAATGAGCAAACATGGTCATCAACCATGCTTAGCTACTTCTATAATTTAATCATGCTAACTCAAATCTTTTTCAGGCTGAGAAGAAAAGCAGCTGCGGTGGTGGAGGTACAAGAAATGACAGAGCCAGCCGCTTGCAAAGAGGACAAGCTTCCAGAGCCACCTGCTCTGAAGAATGTTCAGAAAGAGTGGACTTGTGCTGTATGCCAGGTGACAACCACATGTGAAGCAAACTTGAACAGCCATCTTCAAGGGCAGAAACATAGGGCAACGTTGGATGGGCTCAAAGCTAGTAAGCAGGCAGCCAAAAACACGGGTTCTTCATGTTTGACACCAAACAAATCAGATCAAGCCAAAAAAGGAGGCAATCAAGTGTGTATCTGGGGATACGCCAAACAAATATAAGACTGCAGAACAAGAGGTAAAAGTGCCGGTGAATAGCAGCAACAGTGAGCAATTCAAGCAGAGAAATACTAATACTAGTAATGCTGGGATGAAGCTGTCTAAACGGGGGTGCAGTATCTGTGATGTAAGGTGCCCCGGAGAGATTGACATGGCAGCTCACCTAAATGGAAGTAAACACTTGTCCCGGATTAAAAAGATCTTCGATCTTTGTGGTGGCGAACAAGTGTGGGAGTGTGGTATCTGTAATGTAAGGTTTTCCGCAGAGAGTGTCATGGTTGGTCACCTTAATGGAAAGATGCACTTGTCCCGGGTTGAACAGATGCTCAATCCAATAGGTGGCCAACCGGCGTTCTGCAGTATCTGTAATGTAAGGTGTTAGGGGAGATTGACTTGGCTGCTCACCTTAATGGAGGATAGCACTTGTCCCGGATTCAAGAGATGATCAATCCTGGTGGTGGCCAATCAGGATGGGATTACGGTGGTGGCTCATTAGGATGGGATTACGGTGGTGGCTCATCAGGATGGGAGGCTCGGTAGTATATCACTAATGCCTAAATTTCTGTTGTTTTACAAGTTGGAATGAAAATGGAAAGATTTTTGGATGGATGATGTGCATGACCTAGTGGTGCATTGTAAGCTTTGATATTCACAAGTGAATCCTGAATTTAGTTTTTTTTATAGATAAACTGTCTAAAGATGGAGATATTGGGCTATTTAGAATTAACTTTTTTAGATGAAAAGCTACGATTTAAAAAGTTTCACAAAAAAAAACAGGGCAAGTCTCAACCTTATAAAAGTTACATATTAATTATAAAATAAACAATACAATCATAAAATATAATCTAAATTATCTTCCAACGAGTATTTTATTGGGCTAAAATGGGGACTAATGGGCTTCTTAACGGGTCAACCCGTCAAGCCCCCAATCCTAAAAAACACAGCCCAGACCCTACCCGCTGGGCTAACAGGCTACCCAAGCCCTGCCCCGTGTATGGGCCAGGCAGTGGACGACCCATTAGGCTTTGGACTTTTTGGTGAGGCTTAGCCTGGATACAGAGGAAACAATGCCTTTTTTTTTTTTTTTTGGTTGCCAACCCCAAATCTCAGGTCAAGTGGCTCAGTTATATCACCTACAACCTCAACAGGGAAAGGTGCATACGTTGCAAGTATTTGTTCATGCACCTGACTCTCAAAAATAAAAAAAATGTGCACATGCCCGCGCGTGCGCACACCCACTCTCATGCAAGCGCGCACACAAAAAACAAGCAACTTGATGTAGAACAGGTTGCAAGAGATTAAAATAGAATATGGAGTCAGAGTGGAGTGAAATAGTGCTATTTGAGAATGCTTTCCAATGAATCCAGGATTGCGCGATTGTTGTTTCCTGTTACCCATGTCATACACACACAGAGTTGGGAGGTGAAAAAGGAATTTGCGGGGTGGGGTGGGGGTGGTTTGTATTCAAGCCTTGCTCTTCCTCCAACAGATAAATAAAGCTTAACACAATCCTCCCCAAAGCAATTGGTATTTACATTCAACTCTACGATTTTTCCAGGCCTCGTTAAAGTGCATAAATAATTTACACAAAAAGGAGAACTGACATGAGCCTAGCTAGTTCTTAAGGATCAACCATCTTAAACTAAAATGACTAATTTAGGCTTGAAGCACCCATAACAACGACACCAGTGAATCGATCCACAGAACTCAAACGGCCAGATCATTTATCAAGGCCACATAATGATTGCAAAAGGGCTTTGAGCATTCCCATCCCACAAGTTGCAAAAGTTGAAAATCACAACATTTGAGTAAGCAACATATTAAATCTCGGGCTGCCTATTTCTGGATTTGATGATTCAAGGGATGATATCTTCTGTCAGCAACATTCGAAAGGGATGACTGGGACTATGTAGTCATGCCAACTTAAAACATGTTCAAATCTAGTACGTTGGCTGTGCAGTTAGTGACTTCGACAGGCTTGATTTCGGCTCTAGAGTAAGCTTCCCAGCATGTTAAAGGCCGTGTGTAAACTTCTGCAGTGAAACCTTCAATCTACCATCCCTGAAAAATAAAGAACATGTGTTCTGAGCAAAATCTCACTTCAATGAAAAAGAAAGCTCAGGTGCTTAAGAAATACTGCCCAAGCATGAACAAGTTGCCTGGTAGAGGGTGGGGTGGGGTGGGTGGGCATAATAAAGAGAACTGAATCGGATGGGAAACCAGAGGACCTTGCTATTCAGAGTCTCCTTAAAATCATATAAAAGATATATTTCTAGGTATTTTTGGTCCACTCTGATCCATCAATTGCTGTTATCGCGGCCGACATGCCATTGCTACTTGGAAAATCTTTTGATTGTAGTGCCATGAAAACACCATCACTACTGGCGAACTCCTTCGATTGTGACACCAGGAATCCTGCATCACTACTTGGGAGTTCCTTCGAATGTAATGCCAGGCAAGTTTCATCACTACTTGGGAAATCCTTCAGTTGCAGTTCTGGGGATACTTCACCGCAATCAGAAAAATCCTTCCATTGCTGAGTCACTGTTTTAATCTGCGTGTAAAAATGAACTCCAGCCTTGCCTACAATGCAAAACAACTGAGTTGTAACTTCAGAAATAAACTGTAGCGAGTCTACTTAATGCCACTGATTGTAGGGCAAGCAGAATGTCATAGAATGTTTTACCATAGAAATTCAGATCTCCAGCAAACGACGCCTTAGAGCCGGAGAATGAGACAAAAGGCAGGGGCGCTGGAACAGGAACATTTATGCCAACCTGAGTTAGACCCAGTTCATATCATCAGAGCTCTGCATAAAAATTGTAAGCAAACGTAGATAATCTTGCTGCATAATTCAAAAAAACTGCAGGTGAGCACTGGTTACATGAACAAACAACCATATCTTTTGATGGAACTACCTCCATTCTGCCAATTAGATGAACATCAAATGGTATAACCCTAAGTGGTCATAATATTGGCCCAAATTTCCTAAAAGTTGTGAAGAGAAACCAAACAGTTTGGGTTAAACAAGCCTCTAAGGATCTGCTGTTGCACTTCTCAAAACATTTGTGAAACATGCTAAAAGGCCTGTTATACCTGCCCAGCCTCTATCTCAGTCTGGAATTTCCTTGCAGCCGCACCAGATGAAGTAAATATAGAAGCCCCATTGCAATATCTGCTCCACGAGAGCAACTTAAACACAAACAAAAACTACAATGCTTAAAGCAATTCTGGCATTCATTGAGATTTAAAGGAGGTATTCGGAAGGTACTTATGTCTGTTAACAATGCCGATGGCCTCATCTAAGCTATCAGCCTGAACATAAAAGGGCACAGAGAAAACAATTTGTTAGCAAATTTCTCAACTTCAAAACAAGCAACATCATTATAAGAAAGCAGGGAAACTTATAGACCAACCTGCATACAAAGAAGAACTGGTCCAAAAATTTCCTCCTGATACACAACCAAGAGTAGCCATTGTCAAGATTCAAGCTTCTACTTCCACTGTATGTAATGAAATATCCAAAGTCCACTCTGAGTAATGAAATAAGATACCTTGCAACAGTCCATGTTGTCAGTGACATCAGATAAGATGGTGGGACCAATAAAGTTGCCCAGTTCGTATTGTGGAACCTATTTGTTATCCACAGTAAGTAAAGCTGAAGTATACTGGCTTCGACACTTCTAAAAAACAAAGTAAAACTGCTACTATAGGTAGGATTTCTTACAAGTCTACAAACTGTTAAAACCACAATATTAAACTGATAGAATGCAATACCATTTCAAGGGCCAAAAGTTTGCCCTGGTAATCTGTTACACTATTATCATTGACATTTACCCACACAAACTGCGATCCTTGCAATGCAGGCAACAGGTTGTATCAGTATTACTATTAAAATTAAGGGCAAAATCCAATTTACCCGCTTGTGGTTTGGCCGTTTTGCACATTACCTCCTCGTGGTTCAAAATTAAGCACATAACCCCCTTGTAATTTTGGACCAAAATGCACAACTGACACCATTAACGGTAGTGGCAAAAAGACCACCTTGCCCTTTTTAAAATTTGCATGAACTTCGCAAACACATTTTCTCCAACTCCATTGCATCTTCACCTACTGTGCACCACCAGTGAATCACTAGTCATTGGCCATCACCACTAAATCACAAGTACTCACTAAACCCACCATAACCCATCAATAGCTAGTAGCTCACGACAATTCACAATTTTCTTCCCAAAATTGTCGACGTCTCTACCACGATAGCAAGCTTCTGGTAACAAATATGAACCACAACAACCCCCAATTTTTGTTTCCCAACGTCTCAAGCCAATTTTTCACTATAAATTGAAATTAATCCAACATGGAATCTAGAAGACAAATTTTTAAAAATATAGTGAAGTGCAAATTTTTAAAAAATTAGTAGAACAAAAAAGAGGCAAAAAATTCATAGGAGATGTGTTGGAAGTGAAGATTTTCACGGCGATCCACTTCATTGTTGGAAGGGTAGAGGGGTTGGGTCGCCGAATGATGGGGGTTTTAGTCATATGTGAGGGAAAACTGGTGGGAGGATTGTCAATTGGTGATGCAGGGGTTAGAAGGGCTATTAGCGGGGAGGGGGACAGAGGTGGGATTTTGTTTTTCCTATATCTGCTTTTTTTTTCTAACAGAAAAATATTGAAGATAGAAAATGTCTTTTTGAAAAATCACAAGGGTCTATTTGGACCTTTAGGTTGAACTTTGACATGGACTTAAATTTTTTACATCCATACATGCAAATCTAGAGCGTGTTATAACTTCTGTCAATTTTGATGGAAATAGTAACAATAGTATTTTAGTCCAAAAACACAAGGGAGCTATGTGCTGATTTTTGAACCACAAGGAGGTGACGTGAAAAATGAACAAACTACGAGGGGGTAAATTGGATTTTGCCCTAAAATTAATCTACTCAACAAAACCAGGAAGAAAATTTCTTGTCCATGATGCGTTTTTCACAATCTAGGTGTGTTGACAGGGTTCAAGAGCCACAAGTTAACGATTTTTTTTATAAGAAACAGTCATTTTATTGATGAAAAAGTAGTACAATAGAGGGTGAAAAGAGTGTGGACAAGATGTCCAAACTTCGCATTAAACAGACAGAGAAACCAGTACATATGAGACTTAAGCTAAGACTAGGCATAACTATAAATCACAAACATCTCTCCATCCTGCTAAAATAAAACAAAGAGGAATTTCCTTAAAATCCTAGTGATCGAAGCCCGAAAAGACGTGTAGCCATGAAGCTTACACATCACAAAAAGAATCTGGTACATCGGATTCACTTACACTTGAGAATCATAGTCATAGGTCAGAAGCAAGCTTAATGGTCCAAAATTGTCTAAAGTTTGGAAGAATATACAGAAAGAATATAAAGCAACTATCTCTAGTGTAATGCGTGCATAAAGAAAAGGAAAAACCAAAAAGTGTAACATACTCTGTATGCCGGAACATTTCATATATACGATGGGGTACCATTAATAATGAAAATGCTAAACCATCAAAGATACAAACATATACCACAATCTGTCTTCCATCAAGAATTAGTCTGGCACCACTGTCAACAGTCATTTGGATCAATCTGCATATCCGTTCCTTCACCTATAGACACCAAAGAATGTAAAAGCAATACAAAATTATAAGGAACAGTGAAACAGAAACACTAGCTCTAGAAACAGATAAAGGGATCAGAAAGCTGCTTCTCATTGACCCACCACTACTATATTGGTTTTTGAATTAATCATAGACCCTACATAACGATTGCCTAACAATTTCATAATAATACAGAATTTCATGAATTTTTCACGGTGATATTAAAACATAATGCACTAAAATCTAGCACCTTCCTTCAACATTAATGGCCCATGAATATTGACGCCTAATAAGAATTATGTGTCACCTGTTTGCTAATCACTGGACCAAGGTCTGCATCGGGTTCAGTTCCAGCAGTTATTTTTAATGCTTTTGCACGCTCCACTAGTTTATCTTCCCTGGATTGGGTCATGAAGAACCCTTGTTAGACTGATGAATCTAACGTCCATTGAACATAATTCCAAGAAACCCACAGTTCATTTAGTTAATTCAACCAACAACAACAAACCAATCATAATGGAAAAGGATATAAAGAAAAAATACTTCTCTATATGAAGACAAACATCAATCCAGCACACAGGAACTTTAAATGACATGTTCCCTCACTATTACGGGGATCTCTTTTTAGAAAATCGATGCTGCCTATGATGTGTGGGCAATCCTCGGGGAACCACGTTCTTGTTCAATACCATGCTGTTTAACACTCGTTACAACTCTTCTAGAAACATGTTAGACATGACCAACTCACTAACATATCCCAGGGTTTTGGAAAGAAATTGTGTGTCATGCCCATGGCTAAAACAAGTCAAGCATACAACTAATTGCTATTCAATATAAAGAAAAATATAGTTGTAAGGAACAAGAGATATTCAGGTAGTAACAGCATATATGTTACTTGTTGAATTTTGTGGCCTTGACATCGAATTCTGAATAATTACATAAAATATGATGTCTGAGTCATATAAAATACTTATAAACATATTTAATCCCCTATACACCTGTCTTTAGGACATCCTTGTTTCATTTTCCATGACTGATGTGATAAACAGGGCTGGTGGTTTTCCAAGCTACATAGGCATAAGCTAACCGAGGAAATGGAAAATATGATTGCAAAGAAGCAATGGAGGTTAAGGAGCCCACAAAATATAAGACAACTATTAGCGTCCCCCGCCACACGACCACAAAAAAAAAAAAAAATGAAAAATGAAAGAATGGAGCTATAGAGAGAGAGAGAGAGAGAGAGAGAGAGCGAAGCTGCCACAAATGGCACAAAAGACCAAAGAACATGGAATATGGGAAGTTAAACATGGACATTTGCAGGAGACCGTATTGTGTGGAGACGGATAAAAGCATTCGAATGAGGAAAAAAACAAAATGCACTTTTTCCCACCAAATGGTGGATGCTGGGAGTTTAGTACAATAACTAAGCTAGGGAATATGGTTATTAAAAGTGGTAATGGCAGTGGACAAAGCAAACTATATGCGACAGTGTACATAACAAGGACTTGTGGCATGCATAAAAACAGTTCAGTGCGGCTGTTTGACTCGATTAAACTGCAAGTCTGAGATTCGTCCAAAAAGTGAGTGGGTTTCAACTACAGAAGGTCCAAGTGCTTGAACTGCCAACATCGTGTCAACATCAAAAACCAAAATATATGCACATTATGATCCATTTCACCACATGCTTTAGCATTTTAGTATGTGTTTAAATTCAAGGCTTTGGAGGTAGATTTGTGGGTGAGATATGGATTTGGGGTTCTCAAATTCAAATAGAGTGTTTGAATAGTAATTTTCCAACCCCATACTAAGTGTGAAGGGATGGGACATCATTAACATATCCCGCTTAACACAGTTGAAGTTATTGTTAATATAAAGAAGGTGTTGCCTCTGTTACATGTTCATCACCACCACCATCTTTGTGACCATCTACTACCATCCCATCAGCACCAGCATCTCGCCGCCGCCACCACCATCACCCCCCAGCATTAATTCACTATGGCCATCACTACTATATCATCATCAATACTCTTCCAACCACCACATGTGCAGCCAGTGCCACCATCAACCACCACCAACATCTATCACCAGCACCACTTACGCCAATCCACCACCACCTTTCAGTACTATATTTAACATTATTGAGTTTTCTTAAAATTAAAAAATACTATTTTAGGGTATGCAAAACACAATTTGCAGTACCTTGTTAACTCAACTAACCTTTTGGTAAACATATCCTACAATGGGTAGATATTCATATTCAGTTTCATCTTCTTGCTTGATTCATTTATGATATTTGTATCGCAAATCACATGCTATATACGAAATTAAAGTCAAGTTCACATATAGGTGCCGAGGCTAGTACTTAGGCAACTAATGTAGCCATCACCAAAAGCACAGCCCCCAAGGAAAGAAAGAAAAACCGTTAGATATGAAACAATGCATGGCTGACATCCACTACTCAGCAGCCCAAGAAATAAAGGAAACAAAGAAAGAAAGAATGAAGGAAAAAAGAAACAAATTCTCCATCTTGAGAGCTTGCCAAATAGATGAGGGAGATGGCAGAATACCATGATTTTGAGCCTCCAACGAAAACAACTGTGCTCAATGCTGTGCACCTTTGTCCTGCAGCACCAAATCCAGCCGCAACCAGAGCATTTAAAGTAGCGTCCATTCTTGCATCAGTCATGACAATTGCATGATTCTTGGCTCCAATATTGGACTGAAGAGAACAGTCAGCCAACCAATCATGACAACTTAACAATTTTGTGGACAACAGAGCAACCATAGGTTGCTCACAAGTCATAAGGAAATGCATGCCTGTTACTGGAGGAAGATGAACAGCACACACCTGAACACGTTTACCATTAGCAGATGCTCTTGCATGTATGTACATGCCGGCCTTGAAAAAAAGTAAATAAATACATAAGAACATAACTAAGAAAAACACAATAAAACCCAACTCTTATGAGTAAATCACAAGTAGAACAAAATTAAAAGAGGAGGCAACTTGATAACGTACATTATGTGAAGGTACATGCTAAAATGGCAGTAAAACTACATGTTTACATGGAACAAGCAACGAACAACAATTAAGTTAAATTGTACGTCATAAGTGATAATCTTCAACACTTAAATAAACGGTCTACAACTGTAGCAGGTAATACCAAATACTTATGATACGGGACATCGAAACAGTTGTTATGGTCTAAGAAGCACGGACACGGATACGACACGACACGAACATGCCGACACGAAATTTTTCAAAAAAATAGGACACGGACACGTTAGCGATACGTTAAATAATATGTATTTTATATATATATTTATATAAAATCATGTGATAAAATAAAAATAGTATCATAATAATCTTTTAATTCATTATTTTCCTAATTCTAAAAATTTATATCATGATATCATTGCATGAAAAGTATAATATAAGATATACTGATACACATTCAACATTAACATCCATGATTCAATAATCAATGACTTCTACAACTTTTACTTTAAAAAATATTTCATTTCGTAAAACTAATTTTCATCAAATTCCAAAAACTCCAATTTTGTAATCTCATTTTTTCTCACATTACTTTCATATTAAAAGACTATTCCATTTGTATATAAGTTCGTATTCATATCCAAAATTATATTAAATTCATGTCCTATGTTCAATGTAATGATTATAACTTCTTTTATATTATAATTGTGACTCATATCCCTTTAAAATCATAAAAATAACTCTTAATTATAAAATTATCTGAAAAATTCTCAAAAAAATTGAAAATAAATCTCAAAACGTGTCCCCCAGCGTGTCCGACACGTGTATGTGTCCCAGACATGTCCGACACGTGTCTGTGTCCCAGACGTGTCCGACACGTGTCTGTGTCGTCCGACACCGACACTTTGTCCAAAATGAAGTGTCCGTTCTTCCTAAGTTATGGTGAAAGGTCCCACTATAAAACCTACAAACCAACGTGAGACAGCTGAATTTAAACAGGAAAATGGAATAATTAAAAATCACTATTCTCCATTCTATCTATAGTGCAGCACCAGAGGATTAATGTAGGGTTTACTATTGCTGCATGGATACTTCAAATGAGTGAACCACTTGTGTCGGACAATACAATAGGTATGGTAAGGGAATTGGACTAAATTTTTAGTCCACTCCCAACTAAGACCATGTCTTGGACAAGTTTCTACTCAAGGGACTAATAGTCCCATGCCCCTATGTAATGAAACAGTCGCATATAGCGATAGAACTAGTGACAGGACCTCTGTTTCTGCCTCACAGAGTCCCACCTCTAGACAAAGACCACCTATTCAATTTAGCCCCAATAAGGCAACTCATTACTCCTATTTGCTTTAATCTTCACTACACCACAACTCATCCCACATATCCGATAACATGATGAATGAAACGCATAAGCAATCAACTGGAAAAATCATGCCCAAGACCTTATTCTTATAACACCAAACTTTTCCTTTCGTTGAATCTTCTTAGGTGCGGGTGCCTTCATATGTTTGGATTTTCACTAACGTCAATACCTTATGCATTACCCCCAAACAAAACCCTAATACCCGCGGTGACTCCTTGTTGGCCCTAACCATGGCCATACTATCTGCTGCCTCTGCCTCCTAAATTCCCTGTCCCAATGTTAGTTAAGGCAAAAAGCACCCCATGACGCCAAGGTCTCTGGGGCCAGAGCAAGGCAAAGTGTGGAATTCATTGAAGCGAGGCACATGTTATGGAGAATATGTGAAAGTTATAAATTAAACTGCATGACGCATCTATAGAAGCCCAGTTAGACCTACATCTTTAGCCTGTTGGATTGACCACCAACTCTTGCCTGGCCTCCACTCTCTAGGACAAGTCCAGTTCTGTGTTATGTGGCATACATCCTGAATCACTCTCCACCCTCAGTCCACAAGGGAGCTCACTTGCTGGCCCTTCTTACTTCACCATGTTTTGGGTTTTCGATAACACCCAACCCCCCAACCCCCTAAAATCAATGGCTCTCCAT